GATGGTAAGTAGCCAGAATAACAACTGGTGACGTCACGGTGAGGCAAATCCCTGTCGTGACGTCACGGAGGCAAACCATAAGAGGGCGCCAGCGAAACATCTCGGCGCTAATAATGCTTTCGCCTTCCTACACGTAAGCAGTCTTAAATGTACTCGTGCAATTTTTTTTTTATTTCGACGAAACAGTAAAGGAAAATATAGATTAACATACAAAACATCGTGTTTATACGACTCAACATCCGTTTGTTTACCTCAGTCACATATATTTTACCCGAATCAAAAGGCTGTCACGAAAGTAGATCGCCTAAATACCCTTGAATGGTACAACTTTGCGTCGCAGTACCAAAAATTCAATCATAGTTGTGCTCTTGACCTAAGGAATGAATGAGTGCACAAAATCATAGAATGGGCATCTGGGTTGCGATATATATATATATATTGTAGCGGTGCTGCCGAGGCGCGTGCGAGAACCCACCGAGGACGACGACGAAGCGCGTGCAGACGGCGCGTGACACACTTCTAATCTGGTCTAATTTGGTTATGGACGTCCTTTTGTAAATTAAAAAAACGTAACATTTGGTGTCAGAAGTGGGATTTCTGGCATGGCGCCTCAAGTTACCCGGAATGCCTCCTCTCGAGAAGAACATCCTCTGCAGTGTGGTCAGCGCCGGCCTCTCATGGAGCCAATGGCTGGCGGCTGGATCGCCTGACGCCGCTAATCTTCATGACGGAACCGCCACGAGCAAGTGACCACTTCGCCATGTGTCCCGATTTTTTTGCTTTTTGCTAGACAAAAGCATTTTAATACGAAAATTGAAAGCAGAGTAAAACAAATCCATGGTGCAATAGAAAACCATCGTGTAAATAACATGACTTGAGAGTAACACAGTTCAATATAGAGTATAATTCAATATTACAGGGGAGCTGTCAAGGGCTAGTTTCCCCAGGATCGTGTCCCCCACAAAGAAATGAAGACGCCAAACTCTGGACACCTACTGCCATCTATGAGCGACGGCGGCAAGCCACCTATCTGGTTGCCGCTGTTGCCCATAGATGGCAGCAGCCTTTCCACTCTGGCTTGCCGACTTTGCGGCCGGCCAATACTTGTACAGCTCCGCTGGTCTTCCTTCTTCACCAGAGTGGAAAGGCTGTTATCTTTTAAGCTAATAACGACGTATAATAAGTGTAGCCCAGAAAGCTTACCGGGCATAAGCCAAGGCACTTAGGAAACTTGGCATATTTGCATATGGCGGAAGACTAATGAAAATGGTAGGAATGAATGTAGTCAGACGCCAAACTTTTCACATAGCAAAACTCAAAATACTTTTAACGTAATCACACAGACATAAATCATGGTACTAAAAATGAAAATGCCGGCGATGGATGTGCAATCGATGTAGCACAAAACTATCAACGGAAAAAAAAAATCAGAACTGATAGGAAGCGTTTGGTGAGTGTCGTAGCGCCTTCTTTTGCACGCTCTTATTATTTCGCCACGAAAGCAGCGGGCCTGCTGGAAATGGGCCGTGGGCCGGGCGTCACCACGAGGACCGCGGCCAGCCGCGGGTCAGCGTGAAGGCCTCCGCGGGCCGGGGTTTGGAGACCCCTGGTTTATAACACTGCCATAATTATTTCAAGCTCACAGCGAAAGAAGGTTGCATAAAAAGTATAAAAATATACATGGGGAAGTGTTCCACGGCCTTGATGGATGGCCCTCGTAGAAAGCGGTCACAAACAGGCGCAACAAGCTCGGTCCCCCTCGAACGTAAATGTGTGCACCAGCCTTCAGTGCGCAAACACGTCTGAAGTTCCCACCCGCCAAATTCGTCGTCCCCCAAACTTTCTTCGCAAGGAGAGAGGCATCGCGCGATTTCGATAGGGACGCATTTGAAAGTCACACGCGCGTTATCGGTGCAGCCTTTCCAACCGTGGCATAGCGAGGCGAGGCGTCGGTCGGCCTCGGTTCACGGAGGCTCCGTCGACGGGCTCAAGACACGGCGACGACGTCGTTCCGTCCTGTCGGAACCAGACGCGTCTTCCTCTCGCCCGCGATTCGATTCCGCGAACGAGGGGCCGATGACGCAACCTGTTGCCCGGAGGAGGTTTCCTGGATCCGTGACACGTCGGAGCGAGGGTGTTACAAAATAGAAACCTACACGCCGATTGTCGCCATAACGACCCGCGCATCCGCTCCCCTCGGCCGGAAATCTCAGCAACCCTTGACTACAAGTCTCTGGCCTTTTCTTGTTTATGATTGGTTCTGCGATAATAGGACGCGTACAGAAACAAGACGGACACCGTGATGGTGCGTTTTTTATGGCGTCTGATTGGTTCCATCAACTCGTAACGTCGGCTGCTTCTGAACCTAAAGTAAAACGAAGATCGTTTGAAGCTTAGGTTGAGAGATAGAGAGAAAGAAACAGAAGAAACTTAGTAAAACGAGAATCTCTAAAGGCAGTTAGGTATGCTACATATATTGAAGCAAAATTATTTCCAAACAATTATAGGCATGACAAATAATTTTAGAAAGGGTCGAAACGAAATGTGGCACGAATATTTTAATTGAATTCTATCAGAATAGAATAACATAACGCGGTAAATGTTAGTAAATTTCCTTTTTGTTGGTTCTGCGGAGGTGTTCCTTGGCTTCATAGTTATACATCGCACTCGTGGCGGTGCATCCAATCCTATTTGTCGTAGTACCAGGCACTGCACTTATTCGTTCCGAAATGTTAAACGAATTACCAGTACATTAATTGATCCACTCGTATTACCGCGTTCGCGGCAGAGTTGGCAACACACACGGCTGCCACGTGGAAGAACGCGGCTCGAACCCAGTCGACTCGGACCTTTTGTTTTCCCAATCTTTGCTTTTCTGGAAACATTTATCCCATTCTCAGCTGTGAGCGTGTGTTATGGTTCAGGACATTCACGAACATAGCACGTGTAGAAAGGCATCTTTAACGCGTATTGCTTCGGGTCAGTCGTCCTTCCGTCGCCGTCTAAACATGTACGGTACTTTTCTTGCTTCATTGCTACAGACGCAAATTCGGTTAATAATTAAACGTTTTTTTTTTTCTTTTTCTTTTCGTTTTGTTCATCTGCCATTTTCGTTCGTGAAAATATTCGGTGCCCGGTGCACCGAAAGCATGAACGGACCAATAAAATAAAATAATTTTAAAAATTCCGTGCAAGAAGCAATACGCATTAAGTTAAGGTTATCTAAACCTCTAAGCCGCCGCCAAGGTTAACTATTAGGTCAATCCTCATCGAACTTCGTAACGTCTTCTCTGCGTGTGATTGTACGAATTTTGTCAGATGGCCGAGTAGTGGTGCAAAACTATCGATACTATCGATACTGAAAGCCATATCTCACTATCGATAGTAGTATTCATAGTCGACTATTCGAAAAGCTATCGAACTATCGGTAACACTATCGATAGCTGGCTATTGAAGAAAAAAAAATATATTCAGCTATCTATAGCAAACCATCAAAAATAGTATCAATAGTGGACTCTGACGGATACTATCGATAGTAAACTATCGTAAAACTATCGATAGTCAACTATGGTAATCAATGTGAAACGATCGATTGTAGACTATTTTAGAGCTATCAATAGCTTTTTGATAGGCGACGAACGACGACAAGAGACACGACAGGAAATCTCGTTCCACTAAACTCGCAGCAGCTAATTCCTGATTTTCGGTACGCAGCTATCGATAAGCAGCAGCATTACCCCCCCCCCCCCCCCCCCCCCCAAAAAAAAAAAAAAAATAATAAAAAACAAATCGTAGGATCCCCAGCAGAGTGCATATTTTTGCTTTTCAGTGTTCAATACTTTGTAAGATAGTATGTGACAATTGGATAATAAGCCAAACGCGAGCGTCAAACAATCTTGTGAATATATAATAAAAAATATTTATAACCAGTGATGTCATCGAAATTCCTGAAACTGACGTAAATCTTTACGGGTTCAAAAAACCGAAGTACGTTCAACCAAACCCTGAAAAACTGTCAATATCAGAGGACCACACGGGAGCACTAACAGGTTCTGTCCGACTGTTAAATATTGAAGGTGCAACCGACGTTCACAAAATATAAATATGTATCAAGAAAATGTTGATATATCTTGTACTAACGGAAATTATTCAAATTCCTAATTCGTAGCAGCAGAACTTCTCTGTGTCGCGTGGACCTTTACTCCGGAGCTGACTCGGTTAAGCAAACATCCTTTTATTGTTAGATGCAGACACGTAGCCATGGGGGGGGGGGGGGGGGGGGGGGGGGGTGGGGGGTGGCATGAGGCCTGGGTTATTCTTGAAATTTTCAATTTTGGGGCTCCTCTTTCCTCTCCCCCCTCATACAGCATTTTGTCATGGGCGACCCCCCGCCCTCCCCCCGAATCAAAATCCTAGCTATGTGTCTGGTTTGATGCATGGATAACACGGTGGCTTTGCTATATCTTTTTTTGTTTTTCTGTTTGCTGCTGTCCTGGTGTCGAGATATGCACTGATTGCCCGCGAAACCCCCAAAGACTTTGTCCCGCAAGATGATAAGCAATAAATACTTAGATGCACTGATTGCCCGCGAAAACCCCCAAAGACTTTGTCCCGCAAGATGATAAGCAATAAATACTTAGATAGTTCATTATCTAAGGGTTTCCCTTGCGCCAGCACAGTGCACCAGTGGGAAGCATGAACAATAGGTATTCGATGCAGAGGTGCTGCGGGTGGATAAGAACACCCGTGATGGACATTAACCCGTAATTCTATGAGCTGTCAAATAAATACTACACTGGAAG